GATCGTCGCGACTGAATCGCGACGAGACAACTGTTACAACATTATTCCATGCCGATCAACTTGCATTTCGGTTGTGATACTTTTCCAGCCCGAAATTTTTGAATGTGAAATGAAAATGAATGGAAATGTCGACGATCAAATCGCGTGAAGTCTGTCCGGGGCCTAATTCACCTTGAGAACTTTACTCTTGGTACACGCCCATGTCGCGGCTAGCGAGGCACAGCCCCCCCCCCCCCAAAGTACGGAGGCTCGGGGCACCTGTTGTTTCGAATTACTCGGCGATAGCTACGTGCTCTGCTTTTAGTGTCTACCAGTGTTGAATTTAAAGACACTTGGAAGATTGCCAGATGCGTGGCGATTGAAATCGCATGAGGTATGCTTGGGCCTACGATCTCACTCTTGCAATATTGTGCGAGCTCCGTCATTGGATTTGTTTTTGAACCAAGCGGTCGAAGCGTTTGCACGCAAGAATTGAGAGAGTTTGAAGGTCTAGACCAATGATAAAGCGATATCTTTCGAATTTGTTGGTAGACTAAACTATCGGGAGTGAAGAGGATCGTACCGTGCCTTAGGCCTTTGTTGGCAGCAACGTACCGTGCGTTAGGCTTTTGGTTGGCAGCAAAACTGGGGAACACGCGGAAGACGACGAATGCCCTAGAACAGGTTCGACTAGTGGCCATCCGAGTTTCCGTAAGCTCGGTCTTTCAAGAGTTTGTATTGGAGCGCTCCTGCACTGTCTCGTTTCTTGTGGTATTTCTATGTCTTCGTGTATGTGTTTCTTCTGATTTTTCTCCCTTTCATGTTCTGTGCAATGATTTGTGCTTGCGCAGGTATCATCAATTGAGGTGGCGCGGGAATTTTTTTTTTGCAAAAAATGTTTGAGCGACTGTAATAGTTTCTAACTGATTCTCAAAGGTGTGGCTCCTTGTTTCCAGTGTTTTGTGCTGGCACTACTTCTCATTTTACAGTACCTGTTGATTCAGTCAACATCACTATATCAATTTTCATTCCCTCATTCATAGTCAGCCGTTTTTTTTTTTCGCCGTCACATAATATTCACGAATTTTCGTTCTTATGATATTTAGTCCGAATGCGCAAATAAGAAGGTCATGCTATCAACTTTGTGTGCCATTGGTATGGATCTGATAGGAAGGTAGGGGTCCTCATCTGGCATGTTTGGAATTCACAGACCGTTTTTCCTGTCTCTTTGGAACAGCGTCCACCCGAAATCTATTTACCCTAGACTACTTATCCTAATAGCATGAAAAAAAGACCGACCGCTTGGTCCGATCCCCTAAAGTTGCCTACAAAAGGGGGTTAACGCCTGGACCTTCTTTGCGTTCCGCCCACTTTTTTGCGCTCCACCCATCCAAGGATTGCCGCGCGTGCTCTGACATGGCAAACAACATGACGTGGCACTGTTGCACACGACGAGGTTTCTTATTTCATACGACGTGACTAGCGTTGAGGCACTCGTCCACGTCCAAAGTATGGTTTCAGAAAGTGGCAACTCTGGAGCTTTCTGGTAATTTGGACCTTATATCCGAAATCAGCGCCGTGGAAAGGCCCGATAACAACAAAAACATGGAAAATGAAATTCTGGGTAGACGCTGTTTGCCGACATTGTCGGCACTTCCTTACAATCGTATTTTACTCTCACCGAAGTACCGTAAAGGTCATGCCATAAGCATGACCTGCTGTGATACCGAAGTACCGTAAAATGCCATAACCATGACCTGCTGTGATACCATTGAGTTACCTTGCTCCGCCTGTTATCATTAGCATTCTACCATTGCACTAACACGTGCACGTCGTCTGACTCAATAAAGCTTAAATGCTTACGTGTTCTATATAACACAAATCAAGAGGCGCTATTTCGCCTCAGGCCATACTAAGGCCCAAGGAACCACCGACACGCTGCCTTCAAGTAGGATGCCACGAGTAAGCGAACATAGCAAATTCGACCAGAGGCGAGATCAAGAGCTACTCGTGTGAACAATTTATTTTCTACGTGCACCCAAAATATCCATGCCAAATGTTGCTCTTCTAACATCTTCTTGCATTTGAAAGTTTTTGTTTCTATTCGAGTTTTCTTTGTTGTTTTATCCTAACAGTTGTTGTATACCGAATGAGTGATCATCATTCGAATGCTCTTTGTTCTATATAAATAAACTAAAGTGAGGGAACAAGGAGGGGAGGGGGGTTATCGAGGTGATTTCGTTAACAGTGGCAGGTGTCAAGCAAAATACTAGCACATGATGTTCTAGTCTACCATCGTATACGTACAGTAAATCACCGCGATTCACGTAGTAGCGCAGACTTAGCATGTTACCGTGACCCGATAATTTCCAGCAGTATTTCCCATTCGCTTGTGTAAGGAAAAGCGACTAAATCTTTTCCTAAGAGAAACGATTTCTAACGAAATTGCTGCTGTGTAGAGGAGAAGATTTAGCAGTCGCAACGTGGATATTTGTATGGTATGAAGGTAAGTTAATGGGGTGTGGCACAACCCCTGAAAGGGTGTGGTAGCCACAGCTTTTCTGGGGTTGGCCACACCCCATTGACTTACCTCCAAAGATATCTTTAGCTGACAAAATTAATACAGTTCTAGCCAAAACCTTTTGTAAAAGGGGTTAGAACTACATCACCTTTCGTTTGAGCAATAGTTGCTGAGCATATCCCGCTGTGAGCGGATTTGGGACAGATGAGATTTTGGCTGGCTCTAATTCCGTAGTTTGATGGTTGAAGCGGGATTCTTGGTATAGACAGATAGGAAGTAGTGCTTTGTACTATGTACAAAAAGAGGTAGCTAATTCATTTCTAAAATATATTATAGATAACCATGTTTGAAAATAACCACTTCACTTTGGTGGCTCAAGATTGGGGACCCTCAAAATTCGCTTAAACTCAACCCAAGGGTTATTTGACATGATAATTACGAACATGTTACTAAATATGTTTGGTAAAGTTTATGTCATGCCTACGGTAGACAAACAATAATGCGGGGGGGGGGGAGGAGGTCGTATCTGTCAAAGAAGAGGTGTGCCACACCTCTACATCGTCCCTGGTCATGACGTCTATAGAAGTTCAGTCCAATCTGCTGAAAATCATAAGCTGCCATAAGAAAAATCAACTGATATTTCCTTATTGATGTAGGTGGCAATGATGTCAAAATAAAGCCATTTGGAGTATTCTTTTTCTGAGGAATCAAAGGAAGAACACAGAACTTGAAGATGAACAAACTCTTTTTAAAAGTGAACTTGGAAACCTCGAGTTGTCTGCAGCTCAACCTAGATTAATCAATCAAAATACAGCCATTTGGAATATTCTTCCCTACAATGAGGTTGAGGTCACATTCACTCTAGAAAGAACAGCTGCAAAATCTAGTCGTCAGAAGAATGTGCATCAGTGGCGTACCGAGGGGGGGGGGGGGTGGCGGGTCGCGAAATTTTTGAAAGTTACTTACATGAGTAATAAAAATGTGCAAATGACTTGTTTATTTTTGTAAACAATTAAAATAATTTTTAAAATTTTTCAAAATTTCAAATTAGCCTTATAAAAAAATTTTTTTTCGGGGGCGTGGCTGACTGAGGAGCCGCAAAAATTTTGAGAAGCACCCCAAAAATTTTTTCGGAGCGCGTGGCTAACGCCACGCACCTTCATTTGAAAAAAACTTTTGCCGCCCCCCCCCCAGCCGAAATCCTGGGTACGCCACTGATGTGCATAGACTTGTTTGTTAGAGGAATGTAACTAAATAGTCGCTAAAATCTATTGCCGCTTGTGAGTGAAGGGGAATCCAACACTCTGAAGTTCATTGTTACGCTGGCATGTCAGGAAATGAGCGAGAAACACATCAGCCAGGTGTATTTGACCCATGCCAGTGAGCGTGGGGAGGCGTATCCTTCATTCGCTCGCTCCTGTTCTGTCCCTTCCGCACCACACCCGCGATGGGGCCGCTCCGTGTTTCATGAACTTTCTTCAATAGTTTTGAAGTATAAAATTAGTTCAGATTATTCCATGTGGTTATATAGATATGTATAATCTATTTGGTTCTTTCAACCTATCAGTGCCCACGCGCTATTCTGTTACTAAGCGGATAGGGGCAGGCCGCAGCAGCGGCCAATAAGAGTAGCTAACCTTAACGGGCGCGCAAAATTATGTACTAGACAGTAGAGATCTACGGTGTAACTGCGGGGAGCACATAGCGGAAGGTGCTGATCCCATTGAGCCGCCACACTCGATGTCATGGGGTACTCAATGAAAGGCAAAACAGTGAGTATCTAGGTAAGAACATCATACTTAGATAATGTCGTCGAGCGCGAAGAATTGGCAGCTATATGAAGATTTGGGGCCTCCATCAATCTGTGCGAGCACGAGTTAAACGCATTCTATTCACATGTAGGTGAGGAGGCACAAGTGCGTGGACTTTCACTGAGTCGCGCTGGTTAGCCGGTTACCAAGTCAATGCTTTAGTCTTTTATTATACTCTGATCCCATTCTTACTCAAAAATAAGGTTGCTGCAGAACAGGGACAAACTCCATCCCTTCATCCCACCGGTCATATCGGCGCCACCCTCCACCACGCCACTCTTCGCGACATCATAAACTATACGACGATATCAAGAAAAGACTAAAAATGCAAGCTTCATGATAAAGCTGGCAGCCAGAATTACTTGTTTTGGAATTCACAAGTTTCGAGGCGCCTCAATTGTCTTGATACTTTGTCTCTAGCCGAACTATGATTGTTATACAAATCATTATTCTATCCATCGCGCTAAGTGTTAGAATTTGCCGCCTTTTTTTAGAACCACAACAGTCAAGGTGAGAAACGAACGGATCACCTGTCAGGTAAACATCCCATCTATTACTAATCTTGTTTTTCAGTTCATGCTATTACCAAACCTATTTTTAAATAACGTTTAAGGACAGACCCAAGCATTCTATAAGCAAAGATAAGCAAAACAAGCTGCGACACTTTTTCTACATTGAAACGAACGTACCATTATTGTTTTGCCATCCTTCTTCCATAGACAATGAACGTCAGTGGATCCTTCAACGATGACAGATAACTTAGCGAGTTCGCCAATTCTTACTGTCACTTCACTGGATATAGGCTTGAGGATAGGAGTACCTAGAAGGATCGAAACTCCATTTATATGTTGTGAGAAAAAGTAGCATTACCTCGGTTACTTTTGGATTCTATCGCTAAATTTTCTCCAGTTTCTCTGCTGGATTTCGGAGGTTTTGACGCTTCAGCTGCTTCAACAACATTGCTAACAACGTCTTTCACTTCGTCGTTCCCTTTTACCGGCGCAGCTTCTGACTGTTTCTGCTGTTTGGAATCTAAGTTATCTTGCTGGATAGAAGCCCTACGCTCAACCTCAACTGGTTTTCGTTTCTTTAGTCTCTGTTTGGTATCCAAAATCGCGTCTACAGGGCTAGCGTGTCTCGTTTTTATAGGTTTGCTAGCAATTTCTTCTTTGTCTTGGTCATTAGCCGCCTTCTCGATTTGGTCATTAGCCGTCTTCTCGATTTTGTCCTTATCCCTGATTAGATCCTCGTTTCGATTTTTTGGCTCTTTTGAATGTTTTTCTTCGACATCCGTTTTTCGAGCGGGAATATCTTCATCCTTCTTCCTCTCGAAGATCAGCGGAATCGAGCTCCTACTTGGTTCTGAAGACGAGTTCATTCCTCTCGCCGTAATTCGATAGCTGTACACACCATCGTCCATTATCGAGCGGTCCACATATTTAGATCCACTCATTACAGCTATCTCAATCCAGTCGTCACCTTCTTTACGGCGCTCGATTTTATAAAACGATGCCCCTGCTACTGTATCCCAGGTCAGAGTAGCTTTGCCATCGTCCATGCTAACAGCTGGTGTGGAGGGAGTTTCCAGAAGTGTCATCTCAGCTAGAACTTCAATCTTTTTCTCGAGTTCCTCATCTTCACTTAACGTTGTGACTTCAATATGTGTGCTTGCCGATCCCTCTCCAACACCGTTCATAGCGATGACTCTGAATTCGTAATCTTCGCTTGAGAAAAGCTCGCTGGCCTCAAATGTAAGGGTGGTTTCGTTCGTTTTGCCAATTGTTCGCCATCTTGGATTGTTCAAAGTTCTACGCTGAATTGCATATCCTGTTATCGGTGAGCCATTAGTGTCTTTGGGAGCTAGCCATGACAGCAAGGTTGAAGTTGAAGTCGTACCGCTACTAGAAAGCTCCAGAGGTGCGGATGGAACATCTACGACACTGAGTTCGAATTCTTTGTGAGATGCTCCACAGACATTTTCAGCAGATATTTGGATAAACCCAGAATCAGCAAGTGTCAAATTTTTCATGCAGATTCTAATAACGTCATCGTTTGCTTTAACCAGAGCTCGATCTTTCATCTGCGAGTGGTTGTGCAGGATACTGACGGTTGGAGATGGCTCTCCAGAAACGACGACATGGAACTCGAGGTCGGTGTGAGCTTTCAGGACAACTTTATTCTCGAATCCTTCTTGAATCTCTACAGCAGGTGGTATTCGTAGACTGAGCTGAGCTGGTGCTGATACTTCATCTGTACCAAGAGCTGCATGATAGCCTCCAACGTCACTCATTTCAAAATTAAAGATCTCCAACATGGAGGAACACCCTTCGTTAATTATAGAGTACTTGTTGGCCTGCTGCCAGATTTCTTTCCCATTTTTATACCACTTGACATGAGTAGACGGATAGCTCAGTGTGCAGCTGATCACTGCAGTGTCGCCGCACCGAGTGACAATCTGATCCTGAGGTCCAAGGATGATATGAGACTCTAACCCTGAAAAAAAAACGAGATTGAAAGTGAAAAAGTGTACGATGTCTGTTACCTTTCACGAAAAGCTCTCCTTCAGTTCTACTTCTTCCGTCCGATGTCTGACAACGATATCTTCCGCTATCGGCTTCGGTTGCAGAAGCGATTCTCAGCACTCTCTTGTCTCCATCAACAGAGAGGCTCACGCGAGCACTTTCTTCCAGCTTCTTTCCGTTTTTGTACCAAGTGACTACTCCTTCACTCTCAGTAATGGTGCAGCAGAGTTCAACATCGCCTCCAGTTGTAGCTTCATTGAACTCAGGAAAGGATGTGTCAAAATGGCAGCGCGCATCTGAAATTGTGTGGAAATTAGTGAATGAAAAAAGTACGTGAGTGTACACGAGGACTGGTACAAGTATATCTTTTGTTCAAGGATTTTAGAATGAGACTTCTCGTAAATCTGAAGCCTTCGGGAAAACATTCTAAATTTGCAAAAGGTTTTTCAAAGGGTAAATAGTATAATGCCGCAGCTACGAACTACTGTTTAGGAATACATACATAAGGGAAAAGGATTCAGTTATGTGAAGATTAGATATCTGGTTTGGCTATTTGGCAACCGCGCCATTGAGTTTGTCTTGATCTGTAGTTGATCTACTTTATACCCCAGCACTATAAAATGAGAGAGTGATGTTCATTTTCGTCTTTTTATTTTGATAAACTGTTTCTGTTTATTTGAGAGAGGTCGTCCACCAACATTTGTTTGTGTTGATTGCGTCTGCGCTAGCATCCCTCATGCCCCGCCCCGCCCCTCTAAACAAGTGACTTTTGATGGTTCCGATTAGCGCGTAATACTAAAGTAATCACTGAGTTCACGTGATTATATATCAGTATACACAATTTGAGCAAATATTTCTGCTATATCTACTCGAAATGTACCTTTATTACTCATGGCACATAGAGCACATAAGCAAAAGACTTTGTTGCTGACGAGTGGGGGCCTTACCTTCAATTGTAACTTTAGCAGTAGATTCTGCTAAACCAGAGTTGTTGATAGCTTCGCACTTGTACACGCCGTCATCGCTGACATGGGCTTTGTGTATGATGAGCACACTTATATTTCCTTCGTTAATTATCTGGAACAAAACAATCATTCCAAGGAAAATTGCGATCATAGCCCTAATATCCTAGATAAGCTCACAAAGACGATACAACACGGTTTTCATAACAAATTCTGTTGCTGCAATTATTGCCAGAAAAGACCTCCCTCTTTTCGAAAAATTAAAATGCATGATTTAAGTATCAGCACTTGCAAAAACTGAGTTTTTTAAGGATCAAGTTCGTATTTCTAGGCAGGAAAAGTCAAAGCACAAGAAGTTGTTATCAATTTTGAGAATAGTTATGCCTGAGGGCTTAATAATCGAAAGTGTTCACGTTGTGGCAACACTTTACCTGGGTATTTTCATCCTCAGGCACAATCTCGATATCATCTCTGTACCAGACAAATTCCGGAGTGGGATGCCCCTTAGCATGACATTCAAGCCGTAGCATATCCTTCCTTGGCAAAGACACATCTCGTATTCCTTTGAGTATGACTGGTGCGCTGGTAGCTGAACGCAGTGATTCTTCTTAGTTATTATGAATTGAAAAGGCTTCAGCTTACGCAGGATTCTAGTGGGTTTTGACACTTCGGAGAAGTTTCCAATACCGTGCTCATTCCTCAAAGCCACTTTGAAAACGTACGACACCTCCTCTTTGAGTCCGTCGACTCTATGGAAATTCGTGTCACAGTTGACCTAAGAAGCATGAACACTTAAAATCCTCAGCTGGTGAAACAACGTATGTGGAGTGATAAAATTGCAGCTAAAGTTACAACTTATTGAGACCGTACCTCAGTCCAAACGTTCGAGCTTTCAGACTTGTAGGCCACAGTAAATGATGGAGATAGTTCATCCTCAGGAGTCTTCCAGTCTACAGTAACACTGTCTGGTCCAGTGACAGTAATTTGCGGAACCGAGGGGGTAGTCTTTGGGAGATCTATAAAATTCATACTCAAAAAGTAAAAGGCACACTCAAGAAACAAACCTTTGACTGGAAGTCGAAGGGGTGCGGAGACCACTTCTGAGTTGGAGCGCTTCCCCGCATAGTTGTAGGACTCCACTTTGAACTCGTAATCAACTCCCTGCTGCAGATCCTTCACAGCATAGTGCTCCTCTTGTACCTTTTCGCTATTTACCTGAAAGGATTGTTATTTGTTTGAGGCAACCCGCAAATCAGAAGTATACCATCTCCCATTCCCCTCCTTTTTTTCGAGCGAATACATCGTAGCCAGAGATGTCCGATCCTCCATTTATTTCTGGCTTTGACCATGTCAAAGAACAGCCATTGCTAGTCAATTCAGAAATTGTAGGAGGTTCTGTGATCTGCGGTACTACAGATGCAGTTGCTTCAGGAGTCTAAAAGTACCATTAACCCATTCAAATGTCGGAAAAAGCGAAAATCTTCAGTAAATTTGGCTTACGCTTGTGATTTCACATGGTGTGCTGGCTCCGTGCTCATTGATGGCAGTCACTCTGAAGGAACACCTGGCAAGAGATTTGTCTGCTTGGAACTCACACGATCGTTTGCTTCCAGGAACCTAAGGATGCAACGTTAATGGCTAGCAATTTTTAGAAAGTTCAACTGGAAATACGTAGAATACATGGATCTGATAATTTCTCATATGCCTTGCGTTTGCAACAAGTTAAAGAGTGTTCAACATAAGTGTTCTACCATACTACATGTTCAAATAACTACCCATAAAAGGCGAATATTAGCCCACGAATTTAAGCAGAAGTAAGGAACAAGAGCCGTTAAACATTATGGAAGGAAGATGGGTGCTGAATGATACTTTGACATGATATCAAGTAGAACTCAATCACATATCTGAATCCTTATTGATATGAAGGCATTGTCCAGGTCAACTTGGGGGTATTGGGATCTTGAGACATTGTGAAAGCATGGCTCCTGACTAACGCAACAGTCCAAGTGCGATCGAAAAAGATGGAATCTGAAGCGAGAAAATTCCTTCGGACGAGTTTGCAAAAAAAGGGGCGGCACTCCAATCCCGCCCACTTGAAAAGTTTTGACGTGGCGAATGCTCAAGATCTAGTGTATTGGCCACGTCAAAACTTGTCAAAGGGGCGGGATTGGAATGCCGCCCCCTTTACTGCAAACTCGTCCGAAGAGATTTTCTCGCTTCAGATTCCATCTTTTTCGATACCGTGCTCTCACACTGTGTCAAGTGTCAAGACCCTAATACCCCCAAGTTGACCTGGATAATGTCTTCAAGACAACACGGTTATACATGAAATTGTGAAAACAAGATTTTAATAAGCGCGCAACATAAGCAGCCAACGAAGTAACTGACTGTGATGTTCAATCACCATTCGTGAGAAATTTCTTAGGACGGTAACGCTGAGGACAAGCTTATGAAGTGAACGTATAGATTCATGTGTTTTTCAAGCAGTCATATGCAAACTAGAGGATGCCAAGCTTTGACAAAGATACATAGTTTCTTGAAGTGGAAAAGGGTGTAAAAGGAATCTGCTTCTCATGACGTTTGAAGAAAGCAAAAATGGTTGAAGTTTCCATTAACAAATTCAAGACGTACCTTGGCTAGTTTTTGATATGTTCGACGATTTTGTTCCTTCTTCTCGACCAAGTATTCAAGAATATCATCACTCAAAGAATCCCAACTCAGAGAAATTTTATTTTCGCCAATTTTATTCATGGTAAGGTTTGACGGCGGTTGCGGTACGTCTGCAAAGATATGAGTGTGATAAGTTACTACAAAAAAAAATACCGCTCACCGTTGATCTTTACAGTTACCGTTTTCTTATCTTCTCCAAACTCATTTGCGATTACTATCGTGTACTCGCCAGCATCCGCTGCGTCTGCTTTATTCTTACGAAGATAAATTTCCTTTTCGCTCACTTCCAAAAGATCAACATTCGCCAACGGAGCTCCGTCTTTTAGACATACGACGGATGGCTTGGTGGGACAGTTGAATGGAATTTTGACGGAAAGGCATTCGTTTTTCTTAACATTCACCTCATCAGGTGCAGCCTCCTTGAACTGGGGTGAATCGGTTATGCATAGATTTGTGGTGCTTTGAACCCCATCCGCCACAACTACATAGACTCCAGAGTCATTAATGTTTGCTCCGTCAATTTTGAGCCTACATACTGCTCCATCTAATTCGATTGAGTATTTTGGCATTTTCTGAAGAGGCTGGCCATCTTTGAACCAAGTCACCTCAGTAGCTTCATGGTCAAGTTCAATTTCAAGTGCTACCGAGCTGCCCTTTTTGGACGTCAGCCGAGGCTTGAGCTCTTTTACCAATCTCGGCACTGTCTTTTCCAAAGCAATACGAGAAGTAGCTATGGACACACCATATCGCATTTCCACAACCATATCATCATCTTCAGGCACTACATCACGAATAAGAAGAGTTCTTGTTGTTCCCACTGCTTCCGCTGAGTATCTGGGATTGCCGAAAATGGATGAGCCATCAATGAACCATTCGACGGAATCATTTTCGTGCGCTACTTCACATTTCAATTGTAAAGTCTTGCCGATGCTAGCCTTAGTTACCGGCTCTGGAATGCTGACGAATCCAGACTTTTTGGAAGCAGCTACACCTTTTAGCAGTGCTTTCTGAGTCGATTCCAATTCCTTAGACTTTTTGGCTGACGAAGCATCCTCTTCGATGGTTGTGGCTTCCCTTTCGCCTAGTTTCTTCTGCTTGGAAGTCTTCTTCTGCTTGCTAGTCACTTCATCAACCGATTTTTCTTCCGATATTAATTCGTGAGCGGCGGCTTTTTCGCCGAGCATCATGTCCTCCGATCCACCTTGTTTATTAGCTTTAGATGCACTGTAATCATCACTCACAGTACTTTCTTCTCCAACAGGAGTCTTAGAGGTTGTACTGCTAGTTAATGCTTCTTCTTTGTCTGTGGATAACTCCTCCTTGGACTCGGTTAACTTCCTCAAAGCCGAAACGTCTTCATCTATACCGTGCTCTTCGTTGTCAGCGGCTACAGCTACTCTGGTTTTCGCACTTGTTTTCTCTGCTGTTTCTTCCCCTTGCTTCGATACCTTCACTTTCCTTTTGAGTCCAAGCTTCTTTTCTATGGGTGCAGTTTGCTTCCTCTCAGTTTCTTCTACAGATGCTGTTTCTTCGGGATCAGAGTCTATGAAGTTTATCGCTTCACTTTTATCTACGGACTTCCTTTCCGCATGCTTCGCTCCGGAATCAAGTTTCTCATCATGTAGTGGAGCTTCAAAACCATGTACAACCTCGGAGTGGATGGTCCAACCTCGGTCTTGATGGTTTTCCTCAGTGAACTTGCCTTCCAGCTGTCTTTTCTTTGCTTGCGACTTGTCTCCAGCGCTAGGTGCTTCGCTTGTTATTTTATCAGAGTGAGCTTCATCTGCCTTCGATGGTAAAATATCTTCCTCTAAATCCTCTGACTTCTCCTTCTCCACTTCCTGTTTCATTAGTTCTACTTCCCTTGCATGTTGTGTTTGATGTTTCATTTCTTCGAGCGTGACGTCGACCTTTTTTGATGTTTTGCCTTTTCGCTTTAGTTTATTGTTTGCAGCCTCTTCAACGCCCTTATCTTCCTGCTCTATAGTTTCCGCCGGTGCAGGGGTACCGGACGGCGAAGCAGATACAGTTTCAGAAAGTGGATGTTGCGAGTTTGAGGTGCTATCCTCATCCCTTGCAGCAGCTTTCTCTAAACGGTCTACATCTTCTTTCGATCGCATTTCCTTTTTGGCTTCTCCAGAATCTGCCGTCTTCGAAACGCCAGCGTTGTCCACTTTAGCCTTCTCCTTCATACCCCGTTTCTTGCTTTTACTATCGAATTTGCTCTCCACATCTTTTCCAAGATCCTCATTTTGTTGTGCTTCGACAACTTCCTTACTCGCATTCGATGACGGCTGAGAGTCAGACTCACGTTTTAGTCCTCGTTCCGCCTTCTTGCCTTCGTCTCGTTTTGCTTTTTCTCCTACCTGTTTCTTGTTTTCACTTTTTTCCTTCTTATTCCCAGAGGTTGACGGCAGTTTGGCCTTGTGATTGCTTTCATCAAGTTCAAGTGCTGCGCTCTTCTTTTTTTTCAGTGTTGTCTTAGAGCCTTTGCCATGTGAGACTTCATCATCCATTACATCTTCGAGAGAAGATCTACCTTCAATTAATTTAGAAGTCACCTCTTTTCCGGATTCTTGCTTCTTGGCTTCTTGACTTGATTGCAGATCTGCAAGGATCGGTTCCTCTGCAGCTGATTTTGTCGGTAACGCCGCCTTGTTTCTCTTCTTTGCTTTTGCTCTCTTTTGATGTGCAGTTCTATGATCCTCCAAATCAGGCCCATCAACATTAACTTCTTTATGGGCTTGTTCTGCAGAGAAAGTTGACTTCTTTGCTGCGGTGGTCATATCTGTTTCAGATGATATGAGCATTTGCCTTAACTCTTCATCTTCGTCGACGTCGAAGTTAGCACCAGTCTTGTCTTTTCCAGCGTCTTTTCTTTGTATGCTTTCAACATTCAACTCTTCGTCAGCCTTCTTGATTCCTTCGCGAATCTGTATACAGGCTTCCTCTTCATACGACTGTGAGGGTCTTTCAAATTTGAACTCCGCTGAGATGTTTCGAGGCGATACAGTCCTTGAACCTTGACCACGGCTTGGACTTGCGAGCCGTGCGGAAACTCGGGCTGATCGCGGTTCTCTCAGTGGCGATGCCGCTTCCGCATGTGCTTCTATAGCGGTCATGCTAGCTGTAAGATTTGTTTCCGAACGTATAACGCTACGATCTCCAAAGAGAGAATTGATTTCTAGCGGAATCACAAGCGATTTTGGTCGCTTCTTATTTTTTCTCCCGATCTTCGCAGCTGCAGCAGCTGCAGTTCTGTTAGCTGCATTGATGGACATTTCGCTCTCGTTCAGACTTATGCTGCTTCCCTTCATATCTTTTGGTAAGATTTCTCCAAGTGCGGGAAACTCGTAGTCTGTTGCGGGGATTTTCTTCTTCTGTTTCGGAACCTCTGCATGTGGTTGAGCTTCCTTTGGTAGATCAAGTTCCTCTGTTACTTCTTCACGGCTTCGAGGTGTTAATTTCTGCGACAAATTTTTGAGTGCATCGTCTTTTGAGTTTTTGTTTACGTCTTTGGCCGCAGGACCTTCTTCCTTCTTCTCGCGCTGTTTCTGAAGTATCTTGCCAACTTCTTCGGCTGCAGGACCTTCTTCATTCTTCTCGAACGGCTTCTTGAATATCTTGCTAATATTCTTTATCTTCATGCCACGCTTAGATCTTAGGCCATGTGTTTGCTCCTTAAAATGAAAATGCGTAAACATTAGCGTATTGAAGATAATGTTAGCACTTACATATTGAGTTTTAAAACCTTCCGCTGGCTCTAAGTTCGTAGTCTCACTGTTGTCTCTGCTTTCATCGACGTTTGCTAGACGAGTCATATTAGTAGACTGGAAGTGTAAACACTAAGCTTAGAACGACCAAAATTCATCCGCCCATATGACTCGAGAACTACTTCACTGGCGGTGTGAAATTTTTTTTGCAAAAGTAAATATTACTGTGAAAACAGCCAGAAACATGAACACTCACTATTAGATGCCAATGATTTGTACATTAAAAATTAAACAACCTGCAACATTTGCTCGCACATGCAGATCTGAGTAACACCAAGCTTCGCCAGCAGGATTGACAGCATGGCAGGCATATTCAGCTTCTTCGTGCTGCTCGGCATTTTTCAGGATTAAGTAATGCTCGTTTGCAGGTTCGTGGACGATTTTGCACTAGAGATATCACCAATTTTGTCCAAATTATATTTGGATTCTCAGAAAACTCACTTTGTCATCATTGGCAAGAAGTTTCCCATTCCGGTAAAAGTTCACTGCAGGTGGTGGATCTCCCTGCGTCGAAACCATCATCATTACCTCCTCCCCTTCTATAACTTCACAGTCGTCAAGCGGTTTGTTGAAACGAGGTGCGACCAATTGTGTGACCCGAGGAGCATTTGGATTGACTCGTTCGATCACCTTAAAAGGCACTTTAGATGAAGTCTATGACAAGTACCAGCTCCACAAACCCGTCTTATCCTTCTTCGTTTTTTCCTTGTTTTATTTTCACGTTCGCTATCCGATGACTCATTACGATGCGCAACATTTTTCAAAATGTGCTTTCGTCGGCGATGTTTGTCATGCTCATCCCCTGACACAAAGGCGAGCATTATCAAAAAAATCAAAAGATTCAAAATCCTTTACCCTTGTTGTCTACAGTAATTTTGAAGCGACAGCTGTCAACTCCAGCCATGTTCTCCACCGTAAGTTCGTAAAGGTTTTCATCTTCATGTGTACAGTTTTTGATCTCTAGTGCAAAGGTGCCGTCTGAAATACTTGATCAAAGGTGGGGTTCCGATAACTCCAGTGCACACTGCATGGTTTTTTCATTTATAACATTCCATACGCTCTGTGGCGCGCTACAATAGCTGTGGTAGGCAGTGGCGTACCGAGGGGGGGGGGGGCGCGCGCGCCCCCCCCCCCTCCCGAGAATGGGGCGCGAAATTTTTGAAAGTTACTTATAAGGATTATAAAAATGTGCAAATGACTTGTTTATACTTGTAAATAATTAAAATAATTTTTAAAAGTTTTTAAAAATTCAAATTAGCCTTGTAAAAAAATTTTTTCGGGGGCGTGGCTGACGCCACGCCCACTTTTTCCAGATTTTAGAGGTTGAGAACCCGCAAAAATTTTGAGAAGCACCCCTAAAAATTTTTCGGAGTGCGTGGCTGACGCCACGCACCTTCATTCGAAAAAAATTTTCGTCCCCCCCCCCCCCCCGAGCGGAAATCCTGGGTACGCCACTGGTGGTAGGATATGTAAATAAGAGAAAAAACGGTATTTCTTCAAAAAAGGACAGAAGACAAGAAGACGAAACGCAAGAAAAGCCTTCTATAATAGTATTGGTGCACGTCCAGTAGGATGTTACCGAAACTGAGAAGCACTAAATATTAGGTCTTACTGAGCTAAATTTTTATTTTTTCTTATTTTTTAACATGAAAAGTCAGGAAGAAGCAAGTTGTAAGGGTAAAATATGTTATCAATAGGGAAGGAAGATAACGAAGATCTGAATATGTGAATTTCAATTTTGTGCATGTATTTAGAATATTGCTGACGACTGTGCTTTACAAACTCAGTCAGCTGTGGGAAGATGGTATGAATTCAGACATACTACCATGCCATTAGTAGTCACCACCATATATCCAAGCAATCAAGTTCACCTTAAAACTACCCAACTCTCTCCCCCCCCCCCCCCCCTCTCTCCCCCTTTACATATTCGTCGATGGAGCGTGGAACACCACGGTCTTGCATAGCGTTTTCTCTGCTCCAAAAGTGTCAATTTGCCAACAAAACGCCGCTTTTTTTACCAAAATGCAAACGATTTGAATGCTTGTTTGCGTTGGCAAAGCGCTTTTGAGCAAGAGGAGTCCCTTAAACCTACAACAGTGCTGAGGTAAGCAAGTGGGAGTCCTTCACTTGTGCAAACTTCTTGAGATTGTGGGGTGTAAAGAGTGAAAAATCAAAGCATTTCGAAATCGATGTCGCAATCCTTTGCTCATAGAATGAGCGTCCAGAGGGAGCGAATGAAGTCACCGCAATAAAGAATCGTATCTGAGTAAACTTTGCCCGAAACGCTGTGATATTATGAGCATTGAATTTTGGTATTACTAGGAACCTGCGCGAAAAAGACATTAATTGAGACTAAAGAAATACACTTGGATCATTGATAGGCTAGTTGCTTAAAATCTCCAATCAAACTCAGCAAATATTCGTATAGATCAACTCAGGAACGCAGTAGTGTTGTTTGAGCAGTAATAATGTTGTTGAAATACCTTCTTTGTTAGTGATGGTATTTCGACCAGGGCTCAGCACAGCTGGCACCGGGTCAAGCCGGATATCGTTTTTAGCGCGGAAAGCAAAGGGGATATCGTTTCTAAGGGGCCGAGGCGGAGAACTGCCGCAAAAATGCCGCCGGCATGCCACCGGCATGCCATTGGCAAGCTCTCCATCAACAAACAAAGGCGTTGTTTTCAGCCAACACGCAGTAGTATGACACCAAATTTGGTGTGTGCATGCGCGTTGGTGGACCGGAACTACGGGCCAAAAATTTATGAAAACTTATGTGAATGAAAGCTGTGCCCAACTGTTTTCTGAATTAGCTGGCACCGTGCCAGCTGGGTGCCAGCTGAGCTGGCACCGACACTTTGCTCACATAATTTTTCATACTTTTTTGCATAAAATGTATCTACACTGTAAAAGATTACATACGAGAAGAAACAATTTCATAATGTTTTCTTTTCAGCGTTTTATAGCAATTTGAAAACCACTCGGTCCGCTCCGCCGTCGAAAAATCGGCTTTTTCTGCTTCTCAAGATGTGGCTCGACCACTTAAAAAGCTCAGAAAGCTGTGAAAAGTTCTTTCATGGAATCAGAAATGCATGAAAACACTACTACATTTTTTTACATAATATAAAAATGATGACGGGTTTTCAAAACAGGTCAAAAGGGACTTCGTACGAAATTTTCAATATCGAACGGGACTTCGTTTTGAAATTTCCCTGGTGCCAGCTCGTGCCGAGCCCTGATTTCGACACTAGGAAGCAGGAAAAACAATATCGTGTAAGCTGAGGGTAAGGTATGCAAATCATGACAAAATGAAAGAATGGCGTGGTTGAAGCAGAATTCCGTGGAAACTCAAATGATAATGAATCATACATATAAGGAGGAAATGAATAATAGAAACTGGAATTTTGCTTGTGATGAGATGCAGGGAGGAAACCTTTTGAAACAAGCCCTGCAAACATAGAAACGGGCTGAAATGAAAGCTGATTTTGAATAAAGTGAATAGCTAGACACAAAATTCAGAAAAACTTCAGTCTTATTTGGAATGACTTCTTTATGAATGCTAAGAAGCGTATGATGAGTACCCTAATTTTACGAGTACAGTACCTGATTTTTTCTAAACTCACCAGCCTAAACACATAAAAAAATTTCGCGAACAAAGGACCCTGTGCTGTGCTGAGTACTGCCTGAAGGTATCGTGCGGCATAAGTTTCGTTCTCCGAAACAAGGACGCGGTTGAGCGGATTGCTCAATAAGTCGAAAGAAGTGCTTCTTGTACTCGTGAAATCAGGGTGGTACAAATCACCGAAGAAAGATTAAACATTGAAAACAAAGCAAAAAAATTGCATTTGAATACTACAGCAACTCACCGCTTTTGAGCTCAGCTTGAAACTTTTCCTTTGCGGCTTTGAAATCAATCTCTTCCCCATTCTTCAACCAGATTAGTTCCGGAATAGGATATCCACAAAGCTTACCATATAGCCTTAACTAGGCGTTCTAGCACATAAAGACCTTGACCAGGACGCGACTCACCAAGCAGTTCCTCCTTCGGCAACAGTAACGTCGGTGACTGACCATATAACTTCTGCAGCTTCAAACTCACGCTCAAACAATGCGCTCGTATCAAACTTGCAGAATTCTTAAGGAATAAATATTTGATATGAAGAGGGGGTCGAAGAAGAAAATTTTTGAAAATTACTTCTTTTTGATTCATCGGCAATTTCCAGGTAGGTGGTGCACTCGTCGAATCCCCACTGATTTGTCGCCTTGAACATGATCTTGCCGCTATCCTCCTGGTGCACGGAATCGATGGTGAAGGAGAAACTGTAGAGATTCGGCTGCTGTGCACGAACAGGCTCAAGTTGATTAGCACAAACGACTAGGTCGTTGTTGTGGTAGACAGTAATCTGAAAGCGATCTTGCTGATCATTAAAGTGCTCGGCAAACATCGCTCATGAACCACCCCCACCTTTGGCTGAGGTAGAGCGCTCACGAACACATTCACTGCCAGTGCACTGCCTTCCACACATCTCATCGTTTGTTTCTTATGCAGAAATGATGGAGCGAATCCATGCTCTTGCTTTTGTTCCACCCTATCTGCAGCTTTCGCGGCATCTGTAAATTCAACCGCAATGCATATGCATATCTCTCAGTCCGTCTTGAAATCATTTTGAATTTCATTTTCATCATGATTACTTCTGATGCCATTGGCTTCCATCTCAGTCGCATGGGCGGCAGAATTTTGCTAAAAGTTGCCGCCTATAGCTACCAGATTCAAAGGCTAATAACGCACTTCCCATGAGAATTTATATACTGTCATATCAGGAATATTTTTAATGGATTTCTGTTAGGCCCCAAAATGTCATAATGAAGGGCCTTCTTTGAATTACAATCAGATCTTTTGTCTAACACGGACTACCAATCTCCTCTTACTACGGGATTAGGAAAAGGAAATTGTGCGCTGTTGAGAACATTTCGCTATACAAAAAAGATCTTTAGAACTTGGTTGTAACAAATAAACAATTTGGCAAAAATTCAAAAAATTCCTTCATGTATGTACAGCGTGTTAACCATCCCATCTTGTACTATATTCGAGGGAGGAGAAGGTAATATCTGGCCTACCATTATAAAACCTTTAAGATGAAGCTTCGAAAGAGTTTCTTCACAATTAGGCATTCACTGTAATGCTACCATACTTCAAAGTTTATCTAGTGACCTACTGTCCGCAAGAGCTTTGTAAATCTTTATCGTTGATGGCCTAATTTGTGAGATAATATTTTAGTGCTGTAAAATAATATATGTTTAGCAACTTCCTAAAATGACTGAAACTATACATATGAAGCGCTAAAAACTCTATTAGATGCTAATCAAAAAAGGTCATAAAGATTGTCAAACTCAAATCTGGTCAAGGCTACATCTCATTCAAAGTTCACAATACTTAATGTGGCCAACTTTGCATTTTAGGAATTATGAATCATCACAAATATAAAGACATTGTTGAAAGAGAATACTTTATAATCTGCAAACTTGCAAAATCTCTTCAGATTTCTTTTTCAAGCAAAGAAGTCGTGCCTTTCGTTGCAAAAGACATACAAATTTCAGAGAAATGACTGTGAAAGTGCCTCAGATTCTCGACCGTTCATGAAAGATCGTTTCTTATCAATTGCACTTGATCGGAGCGTACCACCTTGCGCAGCTATGTAACAATTGTTACAATTTATTTCTTCTGTTTTTAGACTAGAAGAAAGTAACGTTATCATTGGCTGTGTCCCAAGTTATTGCCACCCTGTGTTTCAATTTTTTGCACTCTCTCATACAAAACCATGGTTTTTATTTATTTACTTATATTTTGTAATGATACAGGGACTGAAAAAACTTAGAGCATAAATGCACAACGGCAAAAATAAAGTGAGGGAACTTGAATTGAGTATATCTTAAAATCATCCTTGTGTCTTAGACCATAAAATGAACCAAATCTGCTACATGTTAGAGGCTATTATGCCCATTCATTATTATAAGGCATTATAAGAAAGTTGTCTAACGATTTCATGAGATAAAAGTAAAATTCTGCTCACCTGGTGTGTGCAAAATGAACGGCGCAGTCGCAGCAGCATCACCAACATCTGATTCCTGCTCGACCATAAAATCTGAGTCGGTGGTTAGATCTGTCACAGGCTCCGTGCTTAGGTCGCCGAATGTGTCAATCATTTTTTGTAGTGCAGAGCTTAGCGGGCTTGCTTCATCGAACTCTTGCGTTTTTTCGTCCACCTTGGTTTTTGCTTCTACTCCTTCACTCTCCGCTAAGAGCCGCATAGCCTTTGCTTTTCTTCGCAGCAATTTTTCGGTTTCTTTTGAAATGTACGACTTCTGTTTCGTTTTGGGCTTGTGAGAAGTTGATTCCTTTTTGGAAATCTGTGATGGAGCAGTGGTCTTCTTATCGAGTGAGAGAGGAAGACCACTTGCTTCCGTACTACTGACTATTGAGGTCTCGGTAGCATCATTCACTTCGTCCTTGTCTTGCTTATTCGCCAATATTTTCTCGTCCTTGGGATATTCTTGAGAGATAAGGGGCTTGCTTTGGCAGGTAAAAGTCATTTCCACTTTGGCAATGCGAGCAATGCTAATGCAATACTCTGTAGAAGACTTTTCTGCGAGCTTCTGTGCAACCGTAGAGGGCCCGTAGTCAGATGAGTAATCAACAGTGACTTCAGATATGTTTCCTCCTTCATCAGTTTCGTAATTGTCATCTTCTTCATACTTTTCTTCATTTCGGACAGCAGCCTTGACCTCCTTGCTGTTCCTCTTTGTGGCGAATGAAGGAGCCCTTTCATCATATTTGGACTCTCCGACACTGTTTAATGATTTTTGAGTTTTTAGATTTTGAGCAATCTCTGAGTCACCAACTGGAGGAGAAGCTGTCACATCCAGCTCAGGCTCACGGCCCACCTCTGGTTGAGATTGGAGAGTTCCTATTGCTGCTGCTACAGTAGACAAAACATCATCAGACTTTTCTGATGTCAGTTGTGATAATGAAACACCGTTACCTTTATGTTCGGGTTTGGTAGGAGACTGCCGTTTGGATAATTCCCACTTGGTCTTGTTCCTTTTCAAATCTTTATCATCGTGCTCTTCTTCATCTCCATCATTCTTTTTGGAATTATCAAGCTTCCTGAGACTATTTGGAGCTTCACGTTGAAGTTTAAGCTTCAAAAGCTCAGCCGACATGTGCTCTTTTCCATCACTCTCCGCTTTCGGAACTTCAACGCTTTCATTGACATTTGACCTATTCTTGCGTAGCTCATTAAACTTTTCTGCTGGAGATGATGCAGCTCCTTCTGCTCCTTCATGCATTAGAGACGCAGCGTCAGAAGTCGCTTCTTGATAAGGAACATCTAACGGTCTGCTTCCAGAAGTCTTGACCACGCTTTCAACTTTTGCACTTTCTAAAGTACTCGTTGAAGCTGTAGAAAGCAGTTTTTCTCGCACATCTACTTCTCCTAATCGATCTTCGTTGAGAGATTTCTTCGTGCCTGACAGTTTCTTCCCCTTCTCATTCAAACCTTTCTCCTTCTCCTCGGGAAGAACTGTTGAGTCTTCACCATTTGTAGCTGCAGCCAATGTAGTGCCGCTTGGGTTCAAATCTGTTTTTTTGTTCTCGTACACTTTCGTATCTGACTCCTTTTTCCCATCTCGTTTGTTCTTCGCCACTTCTGCTACTTTCGATATCACTGGATATGAGGCTTGTGACAGCTCTCCATGTTCTTTTACCAAAATCTTTTTGCGCTCTGTAGCACCCTTGACTTTTGATTTTGATGCGAACTGCTCCGTTGAGGAAACTTCGACTTCTGTTTTGTCCTCACTTTGTTTCTCTTCTCTTCTATGCTTGGACGTCTCTGCTTCTGGTGACGAATATAGAACGTCTTTAGTTGCTCGTTTCTGTTTACCCTCAAGCTTCCCTTTCATTCCTTTGGTAATATCTTGAGAGATCGGCGCCTTCTCGGGCACATTATGCTTTGCAGAAAGATCGGTGACAACTTCCGACGATGCCTTTCCTTCATACGTACTCTGATCTAAAACATCTTCATGGCTGCTGCTCGTACCTGCTGTGCTTCTGATCTGCACTAAATGTTCGTCTGCAGCACGAGCACTATCCTCTTGTACCTCATTTGCTTCCTCTTCGTGCTTTTTGAGGTCGGAAGCGTTCTCCATTTCATTGTCATCTACTTTTAATGGGACTGCTGGGCGTCCTGACGAAATCTTTGCTATTCTTCTCTCTCCTAGCGAGGCTTTCTTCGATTTTGCGCTGAGTGGAGATTCCACTGATTCTACTTCCACCGCTTTCTTGCTCATTGTCGTTTGTGACATATTCTCTTTTTCAATATGTAATTGATTGCTTTCGGTTTCTTTATCGACAAGCACATTTGTGGCCAGCTCACTAAGGTCTTCATTCATATACGTATGCTTGCTGTCTTCGACATGAATAGAAGTGTCCTCGGACTTGAGAGCAGTTTTCTTCACCGTCGCAGTTTTATTCTTTGCTTTTTTCGCTTCTTGCGAACGCTCCCTGTCTTTGGCATGAGTTGAGATCCGAGAATTACATTCCGTTTGTTCCTTTCTCCTTACATCTACAGAAGAGGGCACGATGTTCCCAGCTGCGCTTGATAATTCCATAGCCTCAGAAGTATCATCTTTTTCCTCAGTGTCTTTTACCAAAGCAGCAGATTCAGCAGCATCTGCGTGCTTTTCAAAAATTCTTGCCATCTTTAGTGCATCGTTTGCAGTCATCATCTCGATTTCATCCTTATCTGCAACAGCTCTCTCGTCGTAGTTGTGTTCCTCTTCTGCAAAAGAACGTTCATTTATAAATAAAACATTGTGGTGAAATTTGCTTCGTATCCTTTACATTTTGAAAGTGGTCTTAAATTTGTACAAGTACACTTTACTTATTTTTCCTTACTGTTAGATTTGCAATAAAATTCTGCTGCTTCCGAGTGTTCTATCAAAGTTGCAAAATACAGCAAATCTTATTTGTTTATATTACGTGATTAAATACATTACACATCCCCCCACAATGGTCGGTCGCCTCATCGTGGCGTGGGGGTGACACTGAGTGTCGAACTGCGATGCACAGCCGAGTGTATACTCTGGTAGGGCCTCCCAAGCTGTGAAGGAGTTCGACGTTTCCGGTTTCGGCCGGATGCCTAGCTAAGAACTGGCCGCGCCAGATTCTCCGCCGTCTGGCTTCTTCTGGTCGCTAGGCGGTCCCTCCTCGCTCCAAGCCCGGGGTCAGCGATCACCCCGTGGAAATCAAGAGTAGGCCTAGTAAGCCACCTTTTGTAGGGGAACAAATTTTATTACTCAGACAGCAAGAAGATTTAGAAAAAACCCTGTACATCGGATCCCGCCTACGGCGCCGGGTGGTAGCAAGAACGATGTCAGGGTACTCAGGGCGCCTTTCGGATTGGACAAAAACGACACGTCTGCCCGGACGACACGCCATGGAGACTGCCTCATGCTCTGCACTTACAACGCCAGGACAGTCTCCACAAACGCCGACCTCCACGCTCTTCTCGACGCTGCAGAGCACATCAACTACCACATCATTGCTCTGCAGGAAACGAAGTCCAGGAAGAAGGACGTGCGACAGATGAGTGATGGGACCCTCATCATTCGTGGTGAAAAGGTTCCATCACGAAACGTGGGAGGCGTCGGCTTTGTCGTCCACCCATCTATCGTCCATCTTGTCGATTCGCACGAGATCCTATCACCTCGACTAGGCATCCTACGACTACGACCTCCACATCAGAAGACCATCAGCATCATCAACTGCTATTCTCCAACATCAGCAGCTGACGAATCAGAACTAGATGCTTTCTACGAAGATGTGGAGGAGGTCGTCCGCAACGAGAAGTCCTTTTACAAGTTTGTTGTGGGCGACTTCAACGCGAAAATCGGGATGCCACTGGAAAGGGAATATAGGATCGGGAAGTTTGGATATGGGCTCCGGAACGAAAACGGCAACCGTCTTGTTGGGCTTCTCTCCGCCGCACGACTTTTCCATGGAAATTCCATCTTCATGAAGAAGGAACATCGCCGGTGGACATGGGAATCGCCCAACGGAACGACCCACGCGGAGATCGACCACATTCTCACCAACCGAAGGTGGAGCTTACTCGATGTCTCTGTAGTTCCATCCTTCTGTAGTGGCTCCGATCACCGCCTCCTTCGAGCGAAGATACGACTCAGCCGAAGGCTGGAAAAGAAAGTCTCTCATAGTGCCGCGAGAGGGAAGGAAGTCGTTTATGACGGTAACAGGCTGGAAGAGCTCATATCAAGTTGTGACTGGCCCATCGAGGAGGACCCAACGTACGACTACGACCGGCTTCTGGAAGGATTGCGAGCCTGCGGAGAATGCGCCTCAGTGACTTATGAGAAGAACTTGGACCGCATCTCGAAGACCACCAAGGAATTGCTCGAAAGAAGAAGATCATTGAGGCAGGATCCGAATGCAACTCATCTCGAGCGACTGATTGCCAACACCAGTTGCAGAACAGCTTTGCAAGAGGATTTTAGGAAGTACAGGCAAGCCAAGATACTGGAAGCAGCAGAAAGAAGACGAAGTCTCAAGAAGTGCCGAAGGGACCTCTGCGAATATCACGTACCGCTGGCTGCACTACTGAACGAAGACGGGACTCCGACTTCTTCCCGATACAAGATGGAATCTATCGCGAAGAACTTCTACACCAACCTCTTCCGCTCATCAACACCCGTGCAGATGCCCGTTGTTCCCACTGGAGAAGTACCACCACGAATTCTACCTGCTGAAGTGCGTATCGCGATACAGACCATGAAGACGTCCACGGCTCCAGGACCAGATCATCTTTCCGTCGAACTTCTGCGAGCCGGAGGACACCGTCTACACGAGATTCTAGCGTCGCATTTGACATCTTACCTTCAGAAGGGGAAGATTCCCGACCAGTGGAGAACGTCAAGAACCGTCCTTCTCTTCAAGAAGGGTGAACGGGAGGATCTTCGGAACTATCGTCCAATATGCTTGCTGAGTGTGCTGTACAAGCTTTTCACGAAGATTGTCCTCGCTCGCATATCAAGGACACTGGATGAAGCCCAACCCCAAGAACAAGCTGGATTTCGCAAAGGATTCAGCTGCATGGACCACATCCAGACCGTTTCGAGGGTCATAGAAGTCTGCCGGGAGTACCGACTGCCTCTCGTCCTAACCTTTGTCGACTACGAGAAAGCCTTCGACAGCGTCGAAACCAACGCCATCCTGTCTGCGCTAGTCGATCAAGGAGTGGACCCAGCTTACGTGAGGACGTTAGCCGACTGCTACAAGGACTGTACAACGACGATGCAGCTATTCCATCGCCCCCTGACGATACCAATCGGGAAGGGGGTCCGACAAGGCGACACAATCTCGCCGAAGCTGTTCACCGCGGCCTTGCAGTGGGTGATGAAGTCACTGGACTGGGACGAGAGAGGCATACGAGTTGATGGGAGATTCCTGTCCAACCTTCGTTTTGCGGACGACATCGTTCTCTTCTCGAGCAGTATCACCGAAGCAGAGACGATGCTGAAGGAACTAAACGAAGTAGGGAAGAAGATCGGACTGCGAATAAATCGGAAGAAGACTCAGTTCATGAAGAACGCCCTTTGCGAAGATGCAGAAATGGAATTGGAAGGCACCCCGATTATGGAGACGTCTTCCTACGTGTATCTCGGACGTTCGATGAACATGGAGAACGACTTGAGGGAAGAACTTAACAGGAGAAGAAGAGCAGCCTGGGCCGCCTTCGGGCCCCTGAAGGAAGCCACCGACCAACTGACGGACCCGGAGCTTCGTGCCCACCTGTTCAACTCAACCGTTCTCCCGGCGCTCTGTTACGCAGCTGAGACTTGGGCCGACACTGTAGCCACGTCGAAAGCTTTACGGACCACCCACAGAGCGCTCGAGCGCAGTCTTCTGAAGATGACCCGACGCAAGCAACATCTAGTCGGACTTCGCAGCACGGATATGAGAACAATGTCCCGTCTTCGTGACCCAGCGGAATACGCCGCGAAAGCCAAACACCGATGGGCCGGTCACATAATGAGAAGAACAGACGACAGATGGACACTAAGAACATCGGAGTGGATTCCTCGCGAAGCCAAACGTTCCCGAGGAAGACCTCCAACGAGATGGGCAGACGTGTTCGTGGAACGGATGGACCAGCTGAGAAATCAGCTGAATACGATTTTTGCACCTGGAACTCGTGGACGCAGCCACCGACGTCAGCCAAGAAGATCGTGGATGTCAGAAGCGAGGGACAGGGAAAAATGGAAACTTCTGAGCTGGGGCCCGCACGTCACGTGAAGCCGGGCCATCTAAGTATCTAAGTAAGTAATACATTACACATCACGCTAAGCATCAGAAAAATAAAAAAATACGTATTGAGAAAAAGTTGTGAGATACCAGAAATTATCAAGCGCTTGAGCATATTCAAAGATATATCGTCTATCTCCAGAAATGTTCACATAGGCACCATCAACGTGGTACCCTCTCTTTCAACATGTCAACTTCGAATAAGCGCCTTAAATTTGCTGGAGTTAACGTGTTAGAAAGATCGAAAGGCAAACACTTTGATGTCACCTATGGGAAAATTGTTGGGGGATCAACCATGCATGTGTGCACAAACTTCAAGTAAAAAACGACTCGAATTGTTCTAGGTCATACGGGTTAGAACAAAAATTAAGTGAAACCATGCAGAAACACAGTTGTTAGAGACTCGATAGGAAAATGTGTTACCTGTTTTACAACAAGAATTGATTTGATATATGAAGTCCATTTCACAATCGCGCAACAAAATAGTTGCTATACCGGACTGGTCAATGAATGTCTCACATATGGGTCCTTCTTCGGAAAAAGAATTTGCGACCCCACATTTGTCGTCGACAAAACCCGCCGACAGTTTTGAGCAAACATGTTGTTCTGCTGATACAGTGGGTGTTTCCGCACGAGGAGATGAGTGGGAACTATTCCCCACAGAAGTGTCAGAAGATTTCATCTCGGTGCTTTTGGATTTTTCGCAAATATGCTCGCTTTCACTGACACTCGGATCTGATTCAAAAAAGCTCGCAGAAACTTCGGGTTTCTTCTTTGTTGCGTCAGGAGTGTGCTTGCTTGCAGGAGTATGTGATAAATCACACTTTCTCGTATTAGTTTCGACCTTCTTCCCGGCGGAGGAGTCCTTGGGCGGAGCAGCATGAGAATCTACCTCTCCAGTCTTGGTACTAATCTCTGGTTCCTTCACCTCGTCAGAAATGTGATTGGCCTCAGTAGTAAGTGGATCTGCTGCAGTGGTCTTCACAGCGGTTTCCGCCTCTGCCTCACTTGTCTTCGCAGTAGCGTCTGACTTTTTCACCTCGTCAGAAAGGTGCTTGTCTTCAGTAGCAAGTGGATCTGCTGCATTGTTCTTCGCAGTGCTTTCCGCCTCTGCCTCACTTGTCTTCGCAGTAGCGTCTGACTTCTTCACCTCATCCGTAATGTGCTTGTCTTCAGTAGCAAGTGGATCTGCTGCAGTGGTCTTCGCAGTGGTTTCCGCCTCTGCCTCATTTGTCTTCGCAGTAGCGTCTGACTTCTTCACCTCGTCGGTAATGTGCTTGTCTTCAGTAGCAAGTGGATCTGCTGCATTGTTCTTCGCAGTGCTTTCCGCCTCTGTCTCACTTGTCTTCGCAGTAGCGTCTAACTTCTTCACCTCGTCGGAAATGTGCTTGTCTTCAGTAGCAAGTGGATCTGCTGCATTGTTCTTCGCAGTGCTTTCCGCCTCTGTCTCACTTGTCTTCG